ACACACACACACACACACATACACACAGTTTTATCAGGTAAAGCGGAATGGTTAAGCAATTTTTTTTCACACTGTTTATCTCGGCTGATCGTTGTTTGTTGTTGGCGGTAACTCGGTGAAACACCAAATAGCAACAACCACAGCATAAAAACACCTCTTCGGTGAAGAAAACTGTTTGATCTGTATTTAACCAAATTTTATGGTGGCTCACTTTCTTCCTGAATTTTCCATTCCGCTTAAGCTGTTTGTAAACCTTACGTCACCACTGCAGAGTACACAAACACATCTGTGTGAATATTAGTTAAAATCTAATAGTTGTTGTTGTTTGTTGTTGTTGTTGTCGTTTGCTGCTGCCCACCGCTTTTGATGCTGTTTCATACACTTTTTATTTGTTAGTTTTTTGTTGACCCGTCGTCGCAAAAAATCTTTTTTCTTTTCCCCTTATTTCTCCCTCCCCGCCCGTCCCCCAATTTTCAACCCCCACCCCTCTCTCCGTTCCCCATGCCGTTCCCCGCTTCTACTACCGCCATTGGCAATTTCAGCGAAGTGTATCGTCAAATAATATGCAACAATCAAAAATCTGGTTGTTTGTTGCTTCCCAATTACAAGTTTCACTGTACAAAGCAGCTCAGCACCACGGTGTTTATTTGGTTGCTTTTGATGTTGGCGGTTGCTGTCCTCTGATGATACATTATTACTTTCTAGCTTCTTCTTCTTCTTCTTCTTTTGTTGTTGTTGTTGTTGTTGTTGTTGTTGTTGTTGTTGTCATCCTCGCTTACTCTTGCTACTTCTCCCTCTTCTTCTTTTACTTCTGCTTCTGCTCCTGAGATTTCTCCCTTTTTTGTATCTAGCTATACTTCTGGGTATATCGGGCTCCTCTCATTTTTTTTCGTTATTAACTATAATTTAAAATATCTACCGAAAAAACAAACAGTGTTTCATCGTTGCTTGTAGTGTTTCAGTTATTTTACTGCAGCCAGCAATGGTGGCAACAGTTTTCATTTTTCTCTATTTTTCTAATTTTATGTTTATTTTGCTTATTCATTTATTTGTCTTTCTGTTTTTTTTTTAAAGAAACTTCTGAGCATTTTAAATTGTTATCGATACTTATATGGCTGGTGGGTGGCGCACACAACATACATGGTGGTGAAATTTCAAAAATCATTTTTTAAACCTTCTCAAAAAATATCTGCCTCACATGGAACAAATCTAATAAAAAAAACTGTAAATAAATCTAAACGAACTCATCGTACCGGGTCGATTCATAAATTTAGTATTTGAACTGCTGTACCGTAAGCAGTATACAGTATTTGAGGATAGCAAAAAAAAAAATTGTTAAAATACGTATAAAGTTAATCGTACTTTTTGAATACTTATCAGTGCCTTTTAATTGATGAATGCGATCGTTGATTTTTTTTTTTTGTTTCACTTTTTATAGTGATGTTGGAAGACTGCTGACATTTATGCAACAGTAACATTCAAAAAACACATCAGTATTACCACTGATGATAATAGTCAAGGTGAAAAAAATTTTCTGTATTACATTACTTGTCTTTTTTATCTTTTGTTTTTCTTTTTTGCTCTTGTTTTTCCACTTCCTTGCTCATCAAACTGATGACTGTTATATTCTGCTATTGCTTTTTTTTTTTTTTTAATTTATTACTTTTTGTTTTAATATTTTTTAACCGTTTGTTAATATTTGCTGCCCTCACTGGTGATGGTGATGGGTTTCTTTTGGCTATGGTGTCACAGCTGACTGCTGTTTTTACTAATGTGCTATTAGTGGTGTTGCTTTTTGTTGCTTCGATTGGTAACCAGGAGGACCAACTGGACAAATTGAGGTTCTTTGGGAGCGACAACTGGAGGAGGTTAATCGTCGTTTGTTTGCTGCTTCATGAACTTTTTTCTGTTTCATTTATCTATTTATTTATTTTTTTTGGTTCCGATTATCATTAATTTGCTTTTAATTTTTTTACTTTGCTTCATTTACTCAACTTTATGATCGTTCTGCTCATTTGGTTTATTTATGAACCATTTGATGCTTAAAATGATACTGTGGTTAAGAGAGCTAATAATCGATCTTTTTTTTTTTAACTAGACAACAGCTCGCTGATAGCTGTGAAAATTGTAATGGCCGTAAAAGAGGTGTTGAAAGGGTAGCAGAGTTGATACTGATGTTGTTGGATGCTTTGTATCCACCACTGCCCTCGTCCATTCGTCCATACATCTATATGTCTGTCTTTCCATCCGCCTGTTAGCATCGGTGTCAGATTATTTGGCAGCATCGTTATTACACTTCTTTTTCATCATCATCTTTATGCCATTTTTTTCATCCCTGTAAATTTTTAAGTAGTTTCTTTCTTTTTTCTAACCTCCCCCAGAAATCTTGCTGGAAGAACTACGTAAACCTTAAATGAATAAATGAATAAGTGAGTAATAAAAGAAGTAGGAAAGTTGTTTTGTGCATACCATTTGAAA